TTTGAACTCGATCAATCCAAGCATGTCTCAGATACGGATCCAGAACTGAATTCTTTAAAACAAAATGGCCGCCAGTCGGCCATTTCGAACCCGATCCAAAAAAAAAAATGACGTGCATCAAGGTCCTATTATGTTTAATGTATGTACCAAATTTGAACAAAATCCGTCCATGCATAACTGAGATCCGGGACCGGAATGGTGAAAATGTGCGATTTTGATGCATTTTCGGCCTTAAAATGGCCGCTATTCGGCTATCGTTAATCGGATCATGAAAAAAATGCATGTGCATATGTCCCATATAATGTGTGATGTATGAGTGAAGTTTGAACTTAATCGGTCCATGCATGTTCGAGATACAGGTGATCACGGACGCACGGACGGACGGACGGACGCACACAGGGCAAAACATAAGTCCCCGTTTTCGGACTGCGTCCGAACGGGGACTAAAAAGTTCTGGACACATTTCCCATATAAGGAACAGAGGGCGCTATAGGTCAAAAACCACCCCTGAAATATGATGTGCACCCTCTAGTGTCAGGTTTAGTAAACTAATTTAAAGGTTGATCAATAAAGTTTCACGAATGTGAGTGGCACACAAGAGTTTTCTATCGCCAATGTAATTGCATGTAGTACAGGAAAAACTACTGAAACTGCTGTATTATTAAAAATAGGAAAATTCAAAACCACTTACATCCCCTAATCTTATAAATCTGTGGTGTTACATATTTACAATTTTAATCTCATAGATGTGCTATGGTAATTCCCTTGGGATATGGGAGCACACAAAAGTGTATCGCAAATAGAATTTGGTAAAGACAAGAGTATTTCCCTCATAGCACCATCAAAACTATCACCAATCAATAATATTTGTATTCAATGTTTGTAAACATAGCAAATGTATATTGGGTCTGAACATGAAGTACTAGGCACATGCAAAGAATGAACTTAAGGATGCTGTACACGTTTTTGGTATTGATTTTCTAAACTGATATTTTCATATACAATATTTACTGAACAACACAAAGCTATATATTGATGGAAAGCTTATTTCACACTGGATATGAAATCGACAAGATAGTGTGTGTATGGACGTGTATAGTCACGTGATCTCTGTGTAAACACAGAAAGCCATTTTTGGTAAAAAATAATTGAACCAATAAATAAACAAATTTAGTGGAACATTGGCAACAAAACAGTTTTTCAGACGACGCTCGCCAGCATTCAGTGTTAATTGAGATATATATCTACATGATAGTTGGAAAAGAAATAATAATTTAGCTATCTTAAAAAACAATGCGATCTGGTTCTTTCCGGTATTCAGAAATTTGAATGTAATTTCGAAACAAATAGGAAAATAGGAAAATCCCAGCGCGGCTTGAGAGGGAACATATCGAAGAGTGTCTGTACGAAAAATTAGTATAATGCGTCCACTAAAACTCGAGATCAAAGGCCTGTAGTTGCCGTGAATCGCTGTTTTGTTTAACCGAGAAAATGGCAAAAACAACTTAGCAGCAACGTATCGTCGGCTAACTCAAAATCCGTTTGTCCCATGGATCAAAACAAACTCATAATGAATAGTCATGGTATCTGTCTGTCATAACTCACAGATGTGTGGATATGCGTGGTCGCAATTGGTTATAAAGTAGAAATTATGCTCCCGAATTCAATAGGAAACACTTTTTCACGGCGTGACAAAGCCGCGCCAAAATGACGTCATGATTTA